GCAGCTCCCCCAAACATCATCCCTAGCAATAGTAATACAATAAGAAAAAAAGAATTAACAATTGCCATCCTTTTATGTTTCTCTAAATTTGTATCCTTGGGGAATTGCCTCAGTCTATTTAACAGGTACTAATTCTTTAGCTATAGCAGGTTTTTCTCCATGATGCAACTTTAAGACTGAGGTTCCTTGGTGCTTGCTTGTTTTCATTCTGTAGATGTTTCATTACCCAAAATAGATAACATCATCAGTGCTACTCAACTTTAAGACTGAAAGCACCTTCATGCTTCAGCAAGCAAGCACTTTGCCTAGTTGCTGAAACGCTTCTGTGAAGTGGATGTGTGAACTGGAAAACATCTGGGTCAGACAAGTCTACTTATGATGAATGAAGGCAAATATGTGTCCTGGAATAAGGCTGAAGGATTCAATCTGAGAAGGTCATGGGGACCAGAAGTTTATTCTTCCACTAGTCTGAAATCTTGGAAAAATAAACCTCTGGTCCCAAGAATAGCATGAAATCAACCTCTTTGGGCTCTGTTAAGAAAAAAATGTTTCAGCTTAAATACAAACTCTAAAAGAGGGGATGAAATAGAAATCCCAAGGCAAAGTTACTGAGACATATACACACGTTCAGTATCATCATGTTAAAATGTTTAGCTAAAATGGTCCTTCAATTTTGCCTGAACTCTGAGCAGGATATGAGTGCATGTAAAAGCCATGACTCTCATTGCTGAATAGATAATGTAACCTGGCCTTTGAGATATAACATCTTTGCAATAGGATTACATATGTTCTGAAATATCAGTTACCTACATCTTAGATCCAGAAGAAGTCATGTGGGGATGGTAGGCAAGAGGGCTTTGGCCTAGCTTCATCTAGTATGCCGGTTTTATCTTTTCTTGGAGAAGGAAGATCTGACTAGAATTCATCCCTTAATAACCTCTTACTTAGAATACTCTGAGTGAGGCTGTGTTAGACAGCCAACTAGGTGACTTTGGGCCAGTCACTCTCTCTCAGCCCAACCCACCTCACAGGTTTGTTGTTGCGGGGAAAATAGAGAAAGAAGGTGCATTGGATATGTTTGCTGCCTTGAGTTATTTGTAAAAATAATAAAGGCAGAATATAAATAATAAACAATCAGAAAGCACAACTGATGAAAAGTATAGTCTTTTGTTCAGAATGAACTTTGTAGACAACTTTCTCATGATTTTAGAACAATTTCACTGGCTGTCAAAGGAGCCTTCTATATTTTAGACTATTGTTTCTTATCCCCAACAGCTTAAAAGATTTTTGGACTTCAACTCCCATAATTCCTCAGCCAGGCTGGGGAATTCTGGGAGTCAAAGAGCACACATTTTAGATTTGCTGAGGTTGAGAAACACTGATTTAAACAACCTTAGTTGCTTGACGACTAAATTGGCAGGTGTTTGAAAACTGAGCTTTTTCAATAAAACATTCCAATTGTTATTTTGTTTCCAAGAGTCAAGTTTGTTTTTTCCTTGCCCTCCAGGAAACACAGATCAGAACCATCAAACATTAGAAACCAAAGCAAAACCAAAATAAATGTTATTATATTTTCATTTTTTTCATTTTATGGTATGTTTTAATTGATATAATCTCAGTACCTACAGTGGTTAGGGCAGGGGTAGGCAACCTTGGCTCTTTTATGACTCGTGGACTTCAACTCCTAGAATTCCTGAGCCAGCCATGCTGGCTCAGAAATTCTGGGAGCTGAAGTCCACAAGTCATAAAAGAGCCAAGGTTGCCTATCCCTGGGTTAGGGTATTACATATGGACTAGTGAGACCAGATTCAAGTTCTCACTTGATGAGGGAACGCATTGGGGAAATTCTGAGCCACTCACTTCATGGTGTTGTTGCTTAGAGGTTAGGAGTCCCATTGAAGCTATCTTGAGCTCTCAGAAAAAAGCAAAGTATTTAGTGGCAAAGGTTTATGATTTCATACAGCAAACTTTGGTTTAACGCCAGAGACTTGTGAACTGATATTGCAAAGACTGGTTCAGCTCACAGAGACCTGGGATTTGGTAGAACAAACAGGGGCTTCATTTGCAGGCACTTGTGATTTTACACTCAAATACTGGTTGAACTCACCAAAAGTTACCTTTTCATTCAACTAAAATCCATTTAAGAGGGATAAGCTTTTGATATCATAGGAAACAGCAAGTTATACATGACAAGAGACTTTTCATTTTGCAGTACTGCTTCAGGCTCAGTTAGCTGGTTTAATGAACTGATTGCAGTCTGATTGTGGAAGAGGAGCAAAAATAAATTTTGCACACTGTGCTATGTGTGCCTGTCTCATAAACAGCCATCTTGTCATAACACCCCTTTAAAAAAAAAGTTGAAACGGAATAATTTTTTCTGACACTAAAATAAATGAAAATGACTGGTGGATAGCAAAATCTTTCCTGCTCCGACAAATACAGAATTTGGAATAATAAGTAAGCAGTTTTAATATACTGATATATTTGTTGGGGAATAAAAGTAATCTTTTTTTCCTTTGCCATTCAAATATTCTAACAAATGGAGGTGGTACAATTATCTGTTGAAGGGCTCAGCCACTTTGAAAAAAAAACATAAGGCCAGAAAAGTAATTGTAATGAAATGCCATCCTATTGACTAAACCAGATGCTTGCTTTCATTCTCATCAGCTCATCATTTGCTGACCTATTTTTTTTTCTCATTTCAAGCCCTGCAGAGCAGATGCCACAGCCCCGACTCATTCATGCTGTGTAATTTAATCAAGAGTATGTCAAAATGTTATTTTGCACTTCCGATACAGGATTTGACATTTGTTGTATCACAGTGACATCAGATCCTGGAAATCCCAGTCATATAATTGACGTATCTGGAGAAAAAATCATTTGTTTGTAACTGCTTATGACATCTCCAAGTTATTGAGGTTTTGCTGGTAGAACCTGGTACCCCTTGGCCCTTCTCAGTAATAGAATATCAGTAGTTCCACAGGTTCTCCCAGGTGTGCATCGTATGTTAAACACATATGTTAAGCATATCCATTACCACAAGCAATTTTTTGTTCCAAAACTATTATATTTCATCTTAAACACCATAATAATGGTCTACATTGTAAGGTTTTTATAAAAATCACTGAAATCAGCCTATGGTATCTTCCAAAAAGTCTAGATTACAATTCATTTCCTCCCGCTCTTAGAACACTGGAGTAATTATATACCAATATTTCATAAATCTAATGATAATCAAATGCAATTTACATCAAATTTGTTTTTTGTCCTGGTCATATTACTTTATCCAGGCACTCCCAATAATTTCAAGTATAATTTATGACATGCTGCTTTATGATCAAGTTTGTTTTTATCCTGACTTAACAATTTATGTAAAAAAACCCTTTATGTGCATACAAAGACACAATTAAAAAAAAAGTAAAAAAAAGATTGCTCATGCATATGCTCACTGCTTTAAAGAAGAAAGTTAGGCTTAAACCACTTCCTCTGAAATCAGGTAATTAAAAATAACTTAGTGTTGGTTACATCATACAGTACAGATCATTCCAGTGATTTAATCAGGAATACTACTCTAGTGATTTACAGAGTGCTTATCCATGGGACTTCACATAGCAGGCACAAGAAGTACAAATCATATCAGCTTTTCCCAATCTGGTATTGGACTCTGGTTCCCATAATTCCACTTAGCAGATGGCTGGAATTTGAAATCCAACACATCTGGAAGATACCTAATTGGAAAAGGCTGATGTTACCGTTCAGTAATGCTTCATCCCCAGTCCTAAAAATATGCATACCATAGATAAGAGACAACTCAGTCTCATTTCCTGGTCAGATTACAGCATTGCTACCATTTCATTCACTTCGAAAGATCAGGGCATCTTGCTAACCATTTACTGCATCCTAGCTGGAGAATTCTGGGAGTTGGTGTCCATCCATCTTAAAAGTAGTCAAGGTTAAAAAACATTGATCTACTGCAAACCCATTGAAATCACTTTTACTATTTCTCGGGTATCCCGGATTGCCCAAATATTTCCCTTTAATAACAGTTCACTAATCAGAGTTGCTAAAAATATTTTTTCTCAACTAAAACACATATTTTAGTGTGGCATGTAAAAACTATGTTTTTTTTTTTAAAAAAGAAGACTATAGAATTTTAAAATAGGGAATTGAATGGTTAATCTTTTCCATATCAAATAGTCAATGCTTCAGTCTAGTGGCCGAGCCAAATTAAGAAAAAAAGTAGGCAATTACGTGTCATGTAACTTGGATGTACATTTACATTGGAATCACATTGGTTCCATTAACATGGTTTGGTAAACATTTTTACCACTTGCTGTGGGGTTCAATTAGCACATACACAAACACACAATTCTTCTGCCTGTATGCAAGCAATGCTTAAAATTCCTCCTTTCCCTCTGCAACCTCCTGTTTTTTAGAGAACACCTGTTTGGATGGAATGGGACTTTTGTTGAACTGTATAATTTGGGAGACGGCTGCTGAAATAATTGAAGACCATTTCTTCCCTGGAGATTCAACTAGATACCAATACTTTCCATGCTTGGAAGGAAGCCAAGCCTTCTTTTCATTGATTGACCAATCTAGAGCTAGGCCTATACTTTTTCTTGAAGACCAAAGATGTGCATTGTTTTATATACTATATTTTTGATTTATTCAGTGATTTTCAGGAAGGGATGTTAAGATTTGGTGATCATTCTATTTATATTCTACCATCTTTCCTCCAAAGAACAGAGAAAAATCTAAGCTTACTGTTCAAAGCAGTTTCCTAAGCAATGAGTAAATTAGCCAGATTTCCTTAACTTCAGCTCCTTACTGATTATTCTTTGGCCACACTGACTAAGTCTATATTCTCGGCAGTCCTCCAATAAGCCACTTAGGAATTCTTACTCACAGTTGACACAGGAGCTGCAGTTATGTATATGGTTATAGGATATAGTTTGTTCGAGAGCCTTAACTTGATCTCATGTGACAGACTACATAAATATTACTCCAAAATGTTTATTGTACAAAAAAATTAATTCTAGAAAACAATATAAGACAATTAGCTTCACTTTTTCAAGATTCCCATACACATTGCAATAGATAACATTTCATTTCAGAACACATTCAGTCATATAAAAATATAATTATTTACATTACGTTTACATCCTTAAACAAGGTTATCAATTTGGTTTTTTTATAAAAAGGCACTCGAATGGTATTGCTCATTTGAGGAGATTACTCACGGTATTGCATTTCCTTTGTGCAATTAGGAAAATAAAGCTTTAAAGATATCCATTGTTATCCACCATCCCTCACTCTTGCACTTATTCCCATTTTAACAATACGTTCACAAGCCCAAAGTTTTGTTAAAAATAAAGGAAGCATCATCAAAAATGTGGCAGTTTTACAAAGGCACATTCTGTTAAAACATGGCAAACAATTGGACATACATTCTTCTGTTTCTTTGAAATGATGCGATTTTCAGACATTTCAGATCACTCATCAAGAAGCACACTATGCTAAAAAATATTTGACATTTACTGACTTCATGTAGAAGACGCTGACAAGCACGTGTGTTACTTGGTATGTAGCAAAATTTTGGTTCTTTGAGACACTTTGGCTTGAACAGTAATTTTAACTGTGATATATTCTTATACAAAGTCAATTTGGCATTTGCATCTTCTTCTATATGTCTCATTACTTTTGTGTTACAGAAAAGTCATGCTTAAAATAAGTGAAATAAAACTTTTTTCTTTTGCACCTCTTGGGAAACAGACAAACAAATACATGGAAAGGGGTGGATGTCTCCTTAATTTGTGGCAAAGGCATGAAAACAGGTAAACTCAGTGAGCTACACAGCAGCCAGATTCTTCATGTTTGTGCAGAAGAGACATTCGAGAGAAAGTTTTGGAACAATTTTTGCACTGGTATTTCTTCACATCTGAATGGGTCTGCAGATGGGCCCTCAAGTTTGACCTGTCTGCAAATGCCCTGTTGCAATGAGGGCATGAAAAGGGCTTCTCTCCTGAAAAGAAGGAAAGCAGGAATTTAGTCACTTGAATGCTATAATAATGAAACGTGCATATTAAGTGGGCAAACTATTAGCACAGCAGGAGGCGGTGATGGGTGGATTCTGAATGCCATCAGAGGTTCTGTTCTTTACATTGTGGGCAACTCAGAGCTTGCAGAAAATCATGATGCATTGAATGACAAGTCACTAACCTATTCTACTTCAGCAGGTGCAGCCAGCACCCTGAAGGTTGGGCTCCACCCAACATTTCCATGTTTCCTCCATTCATTTACTGCATCCTGTGCAACGTCTTTTGCTGCCCAAGGCTGTGATTTGTATGCTGTTGATGTGGATGGCAGAGGTCCCATCAGATTTAATGCTTTTATTATTCTGCTTTTGTGAAACCAACATATAGATTCACATATGATGTTACTTGCCCAGTCTCATGAAGAAACATGATGAATAAAAAGTTTGCACCTAATTGAACAGTTCACTGAATATTTGTAAATGCTATCTGTCCATAGTTTGAATGTATGTAATTTAATGCAGAATTCAGTTGGCTTGGATAGCTATACATCCAATCCTCTTTGGAAATTCCCTTAGACTGTGCTTGGTGGAGTTTGGTGCCATATGAGCATGCACTGCATTATAACCTTGGATAGTTTAATTGGAATTGTTAAAGACAATCTGAGATGAACAAGAGTTATTTCTGCATAAACCAGATCAGAGAATATTCTGTTTTAGGACTAGCTGTATTGTTCATATATCCACAGTTGTATAAAACTTAAGATCAACTTAATCCCAGATAATTATAGTTAAGGTCCCTTTTTAGGCTGCAGTCCTAAATCAGAAACAACTGCACTCTTCATCTCATTTATCTGACCAAATAATTGGTTTCAAGGAAAAACTCACTTCTAAATAATGTTCGAGGAAAAAAAACTACCTTCTATGTCCATGTGCTGACTAATGGGCTTTGCTGTATGCTCTGCCTGGGCACAACTCTTGACTGTGCAGATTCTTGTTGGAAACTTGATCCGTTTGCCTCCTATTCCCTCTGTGTCTGCTTCTTTTCTCTTACTCCTGCATGGGTCATGTTCCAATGCATTTTTAAGGCCAGCTGGATCCCTGCCTTTTGACACCTTGCTGAAAATTTCAGAGAAGCTAGAAGTTGCCATGGCAGGACAAAATTTGGCCCACTCACATAAGGATTTTTTTTTTTTAAAAAAGGGGGGGGGGTATAATAGAAAATGCCCATTGAACATCTAAAGGACCAAAATGCAATTAATGTCTATGTAATTGCAATAACTGAAGATAAAAAGAGCTGACAGTGTGTCAGCATGGTCAATAAAAAGAACAGTATGTGTAAAACCATATTTCCCTCTTACCAGTATGAGTCCGGATATGTCCTTGAAGTAGCCAGGGTCGAGAGAAAGCTTTGCCACAAATCTTGCAGACACAAGGTAGAGTGTGGGTCCTGATGTGCATCTTTAGAGCCCCCAGGCTCACGTATTCCTTATCACAGTATTTACAGCTGAAGGATTTCCTAGACTGGGCATCACAGTGCAGCTGCTTATGTTTGGCAAGTCCAGAGAAAGTTGAATAGGTCTTGTTGCATAAACTACACTGAAATTTTTCAGCTTCAATTGCATGGGGGTGGGAAAGCTTGGACTGGATTCTCTCCTCTTCATCACTAATGGGGCTTTCTGAGCCACTGTGATCTTTGGACGAAGTGTCAGAATGAGGGGGTGGGCTGACTCTTCCCAAAGATGAAGGATATCCAGAAAAAGAAAGATCACTTGGTAAGGGAGAAGGCAACAGCCCAGTTGTAGTCCAGACTGTGATGGGATTGTATGCAACTGAACTCAGGATTTCTGGTTGTGGAATTATCGGCACTGGGTAGCTCTCATAAAGGTATGGGGAAATTATCACTGGAAAGAAGACAAAGAGAGGGAAACCATTAGCAAATGAAGAAGATAATAGCCATATTACTCAGACTTACCCAGATGGGAAATGATGAAATTGTCATGACATTGACAAACATACATTTTTAAAATGTAGAAAGTTCACTGTGCACCATAAACTGGGGGAAGTCCGATTTGGTCCAAGGCATAGTTCTCTCCCAGTTTGGTCAAGAAACCCAGCAGTAAAATCCAGCTTTATCCTCCTAGCTTTCCAAACTTCTCTTGTTCAAATGCAATTTTAGCAGTTAAGCAAAAAAGGCAGAGGTTTCAAAAGGTTGGTGCTGACACGTTGTAAATAGGACGAAAAGAAAGCACTGCCCAGGGGGACGAAAAAGTATGCTAAAGTGCACACAGACACTTTGGTACAAACAGGCAGGGAGGTTTACCTCCAGAGCGATCGTTACCCCAAATTGGAGCCCGACTTCCAGCTTCCATGCAGATTTCCCTCTGGCATTACCTGTATGCGTATCCAGTTCACTATAGTTGGGCTTTTTGGACGCGTTGAAATGTTTCTTCACCAAGAAGGACCGTGGCATTTTGAAACACAAGGACTGCTTCCCCCTTCCCGGATTTCCTCTCGCTGAGGAATAACGGTTCCCAACTTTCGAGCAGCAGAAGAGAGAAGAATCACTGCAGGGACATTGGTCCTCTAGAACATCTCCTCTTCTGTTTGCCCCATGCAGCAAAATTATGTAGTGCAAAGAACTCCTTGAAAAGTGCAGTAAATACCCCACTCATCAGGTGCAAGAGGGGAGGGGTCCGGGGACGCCGTTTCAGCCAATCCGGAATTCGCTCATGTTCTTTTGACAAACTCGAGCTTCTTTGGGCCGGGGACTTCTCCCGGCTCTTAGCAGGGAAGATCCAATCCCTTGGAGTTGCTCAGGAGTTGGATCAAGTTTCAACTCCTCCCTTTCGTGATGGCTGCAAAGGAGAGAGGAAGACGCTCCTCTCCAGGCGCGCTGGAGTCTTTCTGCTTGCTCCTCCCGGGCGAGTTCTCCTCCGGGAGATGGGGGGGGGGGCGCCGCCGAGGAAAAGGGCCTTTTTGCCCCCACTCCCGGAGCTGCGGAGTTTTTGCGAAGCTTCTTCAAACGGCGCGCCTGCCTCCCAGATTGCGCGAGGCAAGGCAGATGAGAAACGCTTCCCTTGGCGGAGCAAAGAACCGAGGGTAGAGAAGAGACGTCTAATGGTCCAGTCGAAGACGTTAATGAGCGAGGCTTTGCTTTGTCAGGGCGGTGCAATCTATTTTGGGAACCGCTGAGAAATGTTGCATAGGTTGAGGAAATAGCCCACACTTTTCTTGCCTTTTGAATGACAGAATAGCCCCGATGTAACTCAAAGGTAGCCGGGCACATGAAACTAAAGATGAAAGATAAAGATAAAGTTGGATCCTTTGGATGTCTTTTGAGTAAAAATGAAACCCACAAGACTCAGTTCTTCTGCTCTGCAAAACACTCCAATGTCAGGCATGCTTACTTGAGAGAAAAATCCCCTCGAAGATAGTTGGGTTTTGATTCTAAGCAAAAGTGTTATGGAGGGCACAGGAGCCTTTTCTATTTTAGAATTTTCTTGCTGCAAGGGATTCTGCATTTCCTTCCTGGAGGAAATTGAGTCATTCCTGTAAATACTCCAGCACAGAATTAAATAGTTGCAGCCAAACGCTCCAGTTAGCCCAGAGAGCCTCTGTGGAATAGAGGAAAACTATCCAACTCCTTCTAACACCAGTTTTTCTAGCTCAGCTTTTTCCAAACTTGTGCCCTCCAGATGTGTTGGAAGTAGGCTTTGGATATCTGGAAAGCATCAGATTAGAGAAGGCAGATCCAGACCTCTTTTCCCAAAATATATCAATGCACTTTATAACTCGTGAATACTTCATTCTCACATGATGCAAAATTGGGTTGTTCATGAAATGCTCCCTGCAATTTATATGCAGTTTAAGCCAAATAATCATATGCTCATTCTGTTTATAACTGAAATTTATTTCTTGTTCCATACCTTTATGTCTCCTAATTCCTCTTAAAATTACACTTTTACATACACAGTTATCACAACATGTGTCAGTAGATCCAGGGATATAAAGTGGAAGTAGAAGGTGGAAAGTTACACTGAGACCACCCCAGCCTCCTTTGCAACAGGTGTTGAAGTGAAGATATGGAAAAAAAATCTCTGTGGTTCTGTTAAGACTTGTAAGAGCAAAGTGCTTTGTCAAGCTGCATAACTTCTTTATCTGGGAGATGCCAAAACAAGTGCAGCAGTGGAGTTAATCTGCTTTCATGTAGAGATCCAACTGTTAACAGACTCCAAGAAAGTCTTACATTTTTGTTGTTGTTGAAAGAACACCTATGCTGAGGAATCTTGATTGGTTTGCTAGCACCAAGCAGGATAGTTATTTATTTATTTTTACAATGGTATAATGTGGTTTCTGCTTTGATGCAATGAAATCAAGGAAATAACTGGAGATGCTTTCCTAGGCATGTTTTCTTCTAGATAAATATGCATGCAATCAAAGACATTTTAGAGTAGAGTAAACAATCTGGTGGTCTCCAGATGTTACGGAGAATAGTTTTCTCAATCCCTTATCACTGAGTGGTGCTTTGGGGGAGCTGCAGTCCAAATAACAGGAGCACACTAGAGTACTTATCTCTGCTTTAGTGGTTCAACTAATTTCCTTCTGCTTTTAGGCTGCCATTCCTGCATAACTATTGTTAAAATGTTACTTCACTTCCTGCCCCCTGTGAAGCCTTCCTTCTTACTACTGCATTCTTTGACACTGATCTCTTAAATTTGATTGTATCTTGCAATTCATTTTTCCAGACAAAACTATTCACAGTGAAATGGGAATATTCCAAAGGAGCTTCTGGAAATCTACTGAATACTGAATCTGGATAACCAATACTCAGGAGTCTGATAGCACTTTTTCCAATAAAACATATTATTACAAATGCTACCAGACTCTTCCTCATTTTTCTTTTTGATAATACAGACAAACATGGCTGTCCTCCCATAGGGCCAACCATGGATACGAAAATATATTGGGGTTTTGTTTGGCATAGGGATTGTTCTATGCTTAATACATAGCAAGACCTACTCTGGAATCCCTTCTGTGTGTAGCATGGTCTTCATAATGTAGTTGGATTCATTTTCTCTACTTCATGTGATAAGAGAACATCACTAAGTCTACGAGAAACATCCCAACTTGATTTTTCAAAAAAAAAAAAAACACCTGATGCAGTATCCACCTTCCCCCAGCAGTATCTTACTAGTAAAAGGAGTGGTATTAATTGTTGACACATACTGTATCTCAGCAGTAGATCTTGATTAACCTAAAGAACAATTATAAAAGCAGTAATGGGGAAAAAAGATTTTCAGGAAAAAATAGCATGGGGATGTTTTGTGTACGAAGCATTGGATAATCTTATAGAATATACTATGCAAATCTATCTCAAGTAGCATATTATTTTTTCATAGAACGTAACAAAAATTACTTAACAGATGGTGTGAAATTCCCAGTAGACTTATCAACAACAGCGAAGCAAAGCACATTCTGTCATGTGAGGTGCCTGAAATGCTTGCTCTTTTCTAAATTTCCTCTACTATTTGATTTCCTTTCAGTGCAGAAAATAACGTTGACTCTAGCCTTTGTGAGTATCATTCCTATGATGTGACAATGTTCATCTGTACCAGCTGATGATTAATCAATGTCCATATGACCCAGAAGACAGTAAGAGCCTTATTCTCTACAGTCTCATGCTAAATGCAGTTATAGTAGAATTATAGGAGAAGCGTGGTGAAGAAGGCCCTTGGGCTTCTCTAGTCAGACTTCTGTATAAATCATAAGGCCCTGACATGTCAGGCAAGTGGTGGGGGTAAAATGAATGATGTTGGGCAATGGGTGCAAGGCATGTTATTACAGGGCTTTAGAAGGATATTAGCAGAATGTTGTTAACCTGAGTGAGGTTTTCTGTCAAAAAACTGGGTGAGTCTGTATGAAGTCTACATGAGTCAGAGTCAACAGGTGTTTAATGTGAATTTCAAATGGGAGATTGTTCAGTTGAAGGCAGCCAGAGATACTGTTGTGTTAGAAGGAAAGAATTGGCCTGAAGAAAAGATCACAATCAAATATAAATCTCAGTTAAAAGCAGCAGATCCTTTTGAAAAAGAGAGACACATGAGTGTTTTGTGACTTTTGCTAGGCTCCTCTTTTAATTCAGAAATCAAGTATTGGCAATGTTTCTTAAATATTTAGCTTAAAGCCATTAATTGTTTTATTGGCAGGTTGACTAATATAGCCATATACTCTTATTGAAACATTGATCTTATATTGTGGCAACCATGCCTGGCTATAGGTAATGTGAAATAAAGTTTTAGAATGCAGTGAAGATAGGCTTCATATAATGTATGAACCATGGTGAAGATTTAAATTAAATTGTGCTTCATTTATAATAGTAAACCATAAACAATGGTTTCATCATATTGTAAGCTGCCCAATGTCACTGTACCAGTGAGATGGGCACAAAAGCATAAAAAAGTGTGTGTGTGTGTGGGGGGGAAGCAAATAAATAAATAAATAAACAAACAAAAAAACAATGGTAGTGATAACTGATTGCTAAATCAAAAAAACAATATAGACATATCCATAATAATATAGTATTATAAAAATAAGTATGTTGGGGGGTATTTTACTTTTTCAGTGATACAGCAGTATTTATTTCATTTTAACAACATAGTATGTTTATATTTGGGGAAGACATTAAGATTCTGATGAAAGAAAAAAAACCACAAACTATACAACCTTGTGTGATAACTCAAAAGTGACACTTACTGAATTTAAAGAGACTTATTATCACTCAGTTGTGCAATTTGAAAGGCTTTTTTGATACACTGTTCCTAATCTCTGATGAAGGAACTAGGTCTTCAAACCCACTGCTCATTTCAACCCTGAGCTACAAATATTCTCCTTTATTGGTACCACTGCTAATTCTCAAAAAAATATTTTTTTATTTCCTATTTTATTAGTAGGACACTACTTGTCCTGCCTTTTCCAAGGATTTGAGACTACTGGTGAATTAGAAAATTCAAATAAATGACCATGCCAGAGCATACACCAATGTCAGAATTGCAAACAGTGGAACAAATTTAGGAAAATAAATAATCTTACTGAGTTCCAAAGATGCTTTTTCACGAAGCAACTGGACTTTCTTGTTTTTCTTTGAAGATGCTGTTAAGTGAGTTTTGCCCCATTTTACGACCTTTCTTGCCACAACTGTTAAGTGAATCCCTGCAGTTGTTAAGTTAGTAACACAGTTATTAAGTGAATCTGGCTTCCCCATTGACTTTGCTTGTCAGAAGGTGCAAAAGGTGATCCCCTGAACCTGTGACACTGCAACTGTCATCAATACATGCCAGTTGCCGAGCATCTGAATTTTGATCAAGTGACCACGGGGATGCTGCAATGATTGTAAGTGCCATTATAACTTCAAATGGTCATTAAATGAATGGTTGTAAGCAGAGGACTATCTGCTCCACTCCAAAACTATCAGAGGCTGATGTTTTGGAGTGGAGCAAGGAAATGATAAACACAAAATTGTTAAGGCAAAATGATATACATCTGAGGAAAAAAAAATGACTTTCCATTTAGGCACGTTTCACATTAAACTACGATATGCTATAAACTACACCACATAATGTATGAACCATGGTGAAGATTTAAATTAAATTGTGCTTCATTTATAATAGTAAACCATAAACAATGGTTTCATCATATTGTAAGCTGCCCAATGTCACTGTATCAGTGAGATGGGCACAAAAGCATAAAAAAGTGAGGAAAAAAGCGAATAAATAAATAAACAAACAAAAAAACACAATGGTAGTGGTGACTGATTGCTAAATAAAAAAACAACAACAAAAAACAACAATATAGACATATCCATAATAATATAGTATTATAAAAATAAGTATGTTGGGGGGTATTTTACTTTTTCAGTGATACAGCATTATTTATTTATTTTAACAACC